CATCCCAAACCAGGGGATTAGTGTTTTGTGATCAGGCAACTCTACTTATTGTCCCTTTCCTGGATCAATTGGTGTGAATTGACTGATGAATTCAAATAACTCATCTAGCGAAAAGGCTTGCAGATATGCAAGAACATTTCTAGTCCTGAAAAAGGGTCGTATATTAAGAAATTCTCACATTCAGGAATATTGGTGGCTTCTGCCCATTTGTGAAGAAGAGTGCTACTATGAAGCCCTGTCAAGGAAATCTCCCAGAAATCTGTAGACCCTGGAGAACAGGCACACATGCATATTTGCTCCCCCGCAAATCCACCCCAAGTGGCTGCACCATTTCATGTTCCTTCCAGCAACATATGAGGATCTACTTGCTCTGTCTGCTCACCAGCACATGGTGGTGTTGTCATTGTGAGAGTGCCAAGTAACACTGCACAGATGTCCATCCATTAGTGGACCCTCCAGTGCCCACTGAGGCAGGAGAACTTTCACAGGTGTGTTACTGGTGTGTCACTGTGGTTTCGTTTGCATTTTTCAGATGGCTAGTGATGTGTGTACTTAATTACCACTTGTCTATTCTCTTGGGTGAAAAGTCTCTCCTGTCTTTTGCCCATTTTCAGACTGGATCATTTGACGTTTACTGTTGAGTTTTGAGAGTCTTTTACATGGCCTACATGCTAGTCTTTGTCAGATATGGTGGTTTGAAAATCTTCCTTCCTAGTCTCTCGTCTATCTTTTTATCCTCTCAATAGGGTGTTTTTCAGGGCAAATGTTTTCAATTTTGATAATGTCCAGTTCACATCATGGGTCCTTTCATGGGTTATTCTTATGGTATCAAGTGTAAGAATTCTTTGCCTGTCTTCGTTTTTTATGTTTTGCATCTAAGTCCCTGATCCATTTTGGGCTGGTTATTTATATAATGTATAGAACTTCAGTCAAAGCTCATTTTGCCTATTAATTTCCAATTGCTCCAGTGTCGTTTGTTGGAAAAACATCTTAAATAATTTTCAATGAATTAGTCACAGTATTTTAAAATCCATATCTGACAACGATCATAGACCCATCATTTGTAAGTCTGTTTCTATTGTCTTTTTTTTTTTTTTTTCAAATTCTCTTGGGACCCTTATATTTTGGTATGTCTGTGAACATTTGTTTGGATGCTGGTCATTTTGAGCCAGACATAGTTGTGGTTCCTCCAGAAGTGCAATGAATATTGTCAGGGGCCAAGGTGCTTTGAAACTGCGTTTCATGCTTTGTGGGGATTGGCCTGTCTCTGGTGGGACAGCCTTCCCCATTAATCCCCTGGCCTAGTTATCAAAAGTACCTTCCTATGTGGGTCATGAACTCCAAGGCTTATTTCTCTAGCATCCAAATCTCTGATAAATTGCATTTCAGACAACTTCCTCTTTGTTTCTCTGTCTATAGCTCTAGGCTGCATGGGAATGGGTTGGTGAGGAAAGAGATGCAGTGTATTTGTTTACTTTTCTGCACCTTCCTACTTTCAGAACTAGACTCCTCACATTCTGTCTTGGTGAGCTAGAACTGCAAGTTTTGACTCTGTGGCCCCACAATTGCTGCCCGCTCCCTCCAACTGTAAGGTCACCCTCAACCCCACCCCTGCAGCCTCTTCCCTGTGTTGCTGTAGCCTGGCCTATGCACATGGGATGCACACAGCAGAACTCTGGGTACATTCTGAGCTCCCCTTCTCTCCAAGACCTTGGATACTTGGGACCTATCTCTTCTGAAGCTTCAAAGCAGACTTTTTGTTCTAATGTTTTCTTTTGGTGCATTTTATTTCATGTTCTCTTTGCCGGGAGGGTTGATCTGCTAAGCTACTCTGTCATAGCCAGAAGCAGAAGGCCTCCAGAGCCTATGTTTTGAGCAAGTCTATATTTTTATCTGACTCCAAATTCCTTAATCTTTCTACTCTTGCAAAACTAAATGTTGAGTTTTCATACAAATATGCCCACAAAATGATAAAAATTCTGTTGATATGAAATGCATGCACACAGACACATAGACTCATACTTCATATAAACTATGCCCAGGGCTTTCTATTTTACTGCATGCATCAGAAAACAGTCATCCTGGATACTTTAAGTAATGACCTAGGTCTCAATTTAAACATAAATAGACAAACACCATCACCACCATGAGCATCTGGCTTCTCTATGTCCTGGGTGATCAGCAGCTTTCTCTACCCTGGAGTCAGGCCAGCTGCCTGGTGAACTCTGGCCTGGCCAGAATGGTTACCACTCTGTCCTCACACTCCCCTCCTTAGCCCTCCCTGCCCAGCTGCTGTTCTTGATCTCAGTGCACTCTTCTCTCTGACTTCCTCTGGGCCTCACTTGTTTTCTTCTCACCGGTGCTCCTTCCTCCAKCCATACCCTGTACCTTGGAGTTTCTTGAAATAATGGAGGTTTCTGTACCTCCATTATTCCTCTGCAGTGCTGAACTCTTGGACTCTCCTTTTCTGCTCTTCCCTGGACCATCACATAGGTTTAAGACACTACCTCAGGGAAGCCTTCCTGGATCCTGGATCCCCAGCTGGGTGAGACACCTGGGGTGGGGACCCACTTCCATTGCCTCTAGGGCCTCTAGCAGGACCTGAGCTATGCCCAAGAGAAGTCCTTACTGCAGAGTGGGGATACTGAAACTGGCCTGCTCTTGGGTCCAGCCATGGGCTCCAAGGAGGGAGCCCCAGCAGGGCATAGGACACAAGAGGACTTATTTTAGGAACCTGGCTGAAGGCCCCATCAGGCTATCAGTGAAGAAAGAACACTGAAGCAGTGAAAGGAGCAAGAATCTTGAATTAGGATCCATGCCATGAACAAATATTGGGTAGCAAATATGAACCAGTCCTCCCTCATTCTCATGCTCAGAGGAGAAACCTGAGACTCAGAGGGGAAGACCCAGGGCCCTGTTTGGAAGTCAAGATAGGAACCCAGACTCTAGGCTGCTCATTCAGAGCTCTGGCCCCAGACCCACTTCCTTTCTGTGCCCAGGAGCAGATCTGATGACCTGGACCCTGAATCTGGCAGGTGCCTTCAGGGGCTCCACAGAACTCCAGGTTGCAGAAGGGCCCTGGCTAGTTTCAGGACGAAACTAGGATCAGGCTAAGAGAGCGGGGAGTGTCAGTGAGGAGAGGCAGGGAGTTCCATTTATCCTGGCAGCCTTGGGGCCTGAAAAGGAAAGGGGCATTGAGGGACATGCAGCAGGAAGTGACAAAGCTCCCAAAACAGGCAAGACCAGGGGACTTCATTGGCTAGTAGTACCAGGGGTGCACTTTGGCCATCCTGGCTAGGACTTGGTGGCCTTGGTGATTGATGGTGGGACTTGGAGCCTGTTTTCCGATGTCCTCCTGCTAGTCTCTGCTTTTGCTCAGGACTTAATTGGCACCTTGCCTCTTCTGTTCCATGCCCRTAGATGGGAACCCCTTGAGGCACCTGGGCTACCTCTGCCCTGATCTCTGGATTTGGAATAAGGAAAGACTTGTGTAGGTCTCTTACTACTTTGGAGACTAGGAAAGAAGAAGCTATTTCTGGGGAAGAGGGTGGTAGGTCACTGAGGAGGAGGATTGTTTATGGGAGAAGCATCTCCAATGAAGTGTCTGAAGAGTTTTCAGACAACTGACTCAGCACCAGCAGGGTTCTTGGCTTATGTAGTGGAAGAAAGTTTTGCTTACACCTGCCAGGTATAGACAGAGGTTGATTGAGGAAAGTAGCTACACACTCAGGTGAGAACTGGGCAATCTCAAGAGAGAGGCACTTTTGGGGGTGAAGCAAGGAATACACATTCAAGGGAGAATGCGGGCCATCTCGAGGGTAAGAGGTGCAGTCTTGGGGTTGCCTGCCCTTCTTTTAAAGAAAACTTGGTGAGGGGTAATTAAGGGAAGGTATGCAGGAATAGTATCAGTCTGGTGATTTCAAGATGGGTTCTGGTAGTCTGAGCAGTCTCGGGATCATCGAGCTGATGTTGCCTTCACTATCTGGTCAATAAATAGCTCTGGAAAATTCCCTAAATTATGGTTTCCTCAAGATATCACCTCTCTCTTTGCTTAATCAATTTATCAGAGGTCAATTAACAGTGCACAGGTAGATTTATAAATTTCTCAGGAATTTGGAAGTAATAAGCTTAGGAGAGACACTGGCTTAGGGAATGGGAGGCCTGGAGAAGTCTGTGGAACGTCAGAATTTAAATCCTAATTTCTTGTTCTTCTTTTAGGTCTCCTTTCTACCTATTTCTTATTCCTTGTATCCTACCTTTGAATTAGGATCCATGCCATGAACAAATATTGGGTAGCAGATATGAACCAGTCCTCCCTCATTCTCATGCTCAGAGGAGAAACTTGAGACTCAGAGGGGAAGACCCAGGGCCCTGTTTGGAAGTCAAGACAGGAACCCAGGCTCTAGGCTGCTCATTCAGAGCTCTGGCCCCAGACATGGCAGTCCACACAGGGTCAGCGAGGGAGATGATCTAGTTTTATTCCTGGTCTTAGCAGGAGAGAGAATGCACAGTCAATTAGAATACAAAGAGGATGTTTTAATGAAAGGACTAGTTACACATGTATGTGTGTAGGGAGCCCTTGAGGGAGACAGTCTTTTGGGCCTCAGAACTTGGGAGTGGTCAATGGAAGGAATCAGTGGAAACCTTACCAAGCGTGGAGGTGGATTGTTTTTCCTCCAGTTCCTGCTGTGACTTCTTTGCACTTCCAAGAGATGAGTGGCTGCCTTGTTTTTCCTGCAAAGAAAATAAGCAGGGTTTCCACTCTGCCCTTGGTTTCTCTGACCTCTTGCTTGGAGTCCCCACTGCCAAATCTGCTTGGAAAAACATGCTGGACCCCTGGTCCTGGGTGTGTCTGTGTGCTTGGGGCTGATGTGTGGCCTTCCTGTGTTCTGGTCCATGAACCTGCTATGTTCAGGGGCCAGAGCTGGGGCCTCCAGGCCTTGCTCCCCGCAGGGCACCCTGCTTATTTCCCTGTGGCAGGCCTACAGTCTGGCAGGGCTCTACTTTATCAGTACCTYTTCTGCTTCCTTCTTTTTCTTCCCCTTGAGCCAGAGGAGGTAACATCTGAGCCAGGAAACAGGATGGAGGTGGGTCAGTCAAGGAATAGGAATTCTTCCTTGGGCACCCTGGGGCTTGGAGAAGTCACTCACCCAACTCCAGCTATGGCCACGAGTAGCAYAGTGCTGAGGATTATAGCCCATATGTAGGACTTCATTTTCTTGGCTGGGGGTGTGAAAGCAGGGAGCCAGGTGTTTAAAGGCCAGGAGGGACTGTCTGGGCTCTAGAGAAGAGCCAGTGAGTGAGCACTATTTCTGTGCCCACCTCAAGAGATGAATGAGACATGGTCCCTGCTCTCTAGGAAGAGGACAAGGAAACAATTACTGTGTGGGAAATAGGACAGCGCATGGGATGGGGAGAAAGGATGATGAGTCCCTGGGGGTGGGAGTGCGTCAGAAAATTGCTCAGAAAATAGGACCTCTGATTGGGACTGTGAAAGACAAATAGAGGTTCATTTCCATGGGTCACAGGCAAACCTGTGTTCCAGGCTGAAGACATGTTCAGGAATGGGAGCATGAAGCTGCCCATCTGTCCAGAGTGTCCACAGYTTGGTGTGGCTGGGTAGTCGGGGCCATGGGAGATGAGCAGGGGCTGCTTACATGGGGCTTCCCAAGGAGGATGTTATCTAGGATATTTGGAGCTACTGAAAGTTATAAACAGGGAGTGTCATGGGCAAATTTTCTCCTTGAGAAAGAGTTTTGTGGTGGCCAGGAGGGGCAGGGAAGCCAGTTAGGAAAGTTTGCCATAACTCAGGTGAGCGATTAGGATGTCTGAGGAAGAGGGTCACAAGTTAGAATGAAAATATAGGAACACATTTAAAAGTTATTTAGCAAGGCTTGGGGACCTCATGGTTTAGGATGGAGGGAGATTCCTGGCTTAGGAAGTGGAAGGCTTGAGTAGAGACACATGCTGRAAGGGACCGTGAAGGCAGAGCAGGTTTGGGGGCAATGGAGATGGGTTTGGGCACATTTCYAAGCATGTTGACTCTGAGGACCTAGAGGTAGATGGCTTTCAGGCTYTAAACCTGGACACATGAATGTTAAGAAATCCCAAAGGCACTACCATCACCCAGGAGGAGGAAGATGAGCAAGAAAAGTTTTGAGTTGGACAGAGAAAAAAGAGGGAGAGAAACAATAATAGCCCCAGGGGTGAAGGGCCAGGAGAGGGTACGCTGGACAAAGCAGGGACCACTGACCTGGGCAGAGAGCAGCGTCATTGCAGGATAAGACGTGGGTATTGCAGTCTGCACACACAGTGACCTCTATTGTGGATCTGATGTCTATGAGAGGGATGGGCAGGAGCCTTAGAGGAAGCCKCGGGGGGTGGGGGGCTCTTGTCCCTCAGTCAAGCCCAGTACCCAAGCACACTCACCACAGGACTCATTGCAGGCTGCCCGGAAAGGTGAGATGGTGGAGAAATTGAGGCACTGGGGAAGCAGACAGAGCCAGGAGGGGCTGGGGGTGTGAGCAGGACATGGAACTGGGGAAGGTGTGGCAGGTGTCCAGCCTGTGGTCAGGGCTGGGGGTTCCTGGGAAGAGTCTGGGAGGGGCTTCAGATTGGACTCTGCAGGCCTTGGGTCTCCATGGGGGTGAGGAGCTGGGCCGTGGGCAGGGGAAGTCCCATCTCTCACCCTTCTGCTTCAGCTCCTCTGATCTCCTATTCAGCCTCTCGGCAAGGAGACCCTTGTATACACGAATCTCTTCCAGAAGTGACGATTTATCTGGAGTAGGGGGGGAAAGGGTGCTCAGTTGTGTGAATTGCTCCATGTTGGGATTTCACATTTGTCTTCAAACAGAAATTCCATAGAGGACACAGAGTCAGGCTGTGTCCATCTCCCACCCTATGACCAAAGCAGTCCTCTGGGAATGCTTTGGAGGGTGGGATATTGCCAACCCAAGCCCCAGGGCCCTGGGACACTTGGCCTCCTCACTATTGCGTAACTTCTGAATGATTTGGTCAACTTGGCTGAAGAATTTGGCTGTTTCTTCTTCCAGATGGTTCTTATCTGAGGGGCAAGATGTATGAGGAAAGCCAGGGAAGTAAGATCCAGTTTGGGTGAAAGGGTGAGTCCTGGATCCTGGAATCCTGGAAGTACCTCACCAAGATAAGAGGATTTTATCGAGGAAGTATCCTCCAGGAAGAAGGAGTGGAGGCTCTGGGAGAGTTCTACTGGTGGTGGCGAGGTGCCCCAGAGAATCTGCAGGTCATAGTCCAGCAGGGCAGGCATCTCTGGCCAGCAACGGAGGCAGGTCTTCTCACCAGCGGTTGTCAGGAGAAAGATGAGCAGGAGAGGCAGCATCTTCTGGGGCCTTCTCTCTGCACACATGACCCTGTCTGCAGTTCCATGTGGAATGCTGGCACCCTGTCCCCCTGGGAACTGCATTCTCTTGGCAGAACAAAAGTAAATTCTGAGGGTTAACAAAAATAAGTTCTATGGTCAGCTGTGGTGAACATAGGCTTTGGCATCAGACCCAAGCACAGCTTGGTTACTCCTCTGGAAATGGGGTCCCTGATGTTTGGTGGGGAGGGTTCTCATGAGGATCTAGGACAGTTGTGCTGCTTCTTGATAGATGCTCAACTATCATTGAGTTTATCTTGTAAGAAATTGATGAGCAAGACTGAAATTCGAGGGTTCAGGAAAGAGCAGAACAGCAAGAAGGTTAGCTGTGCAAAAAGATTCTGAGTGTCTCTGTACTTTTCCACATAGAAATGATCAGCCATGGAAGAAGCATATGGAAAATATATTTTTCAGGGCATATAAAACCCAGCAGMTACATTGTGCTTGGCCAAGTCACAGAGACTTGGACAGATCCTCCAGTTATTATGTAGTCAGATGGTGAAGACAGAGTTGTAGCCAGCAGTGTCTGGAAGTGTAGAGAAGGAAGAAGTCACCTGTAGGGCAGTTCTTTTGTGCAATACACACTGAAGAAGAATTGGTGAGAAAAAGAAGAAGAAGAAG